TAATAATTTAATGTCTTTAAAAATTTTGTTTTAAGAAAAAAATTACTAATATTTTCGAATTCGAATACGAATTCAAATATGTCAAATATCTATCAAATCGAATACGAATGTTTTTTAAAATTCGAATTATATACGAATCCGAATTCAAATACATATCACTTTAATCGAATACGAATCGAATAGTGATATATTTGCTTCGATTCGATTCGTATACACCTCTAGTTGTAATACACACATTTTTATCACTCCAGATCATACATTTTACACCCCGTCAAGGGGGCGTGAAAGAGAATCTATTCATATTCATTGAAAGTTTATCAATGTTAACAATAAAAATTGAATGGGGAATTTAAATTTGGAAAAGGTAATTAATTGGAATGAGGAAATGGCGGGGATCCAGAGCAAATAAGATCTGGGTTTGACCGTGATGTTTGGTGAGTTTGACTTGTTTTACTAGTTTTTTTCTACCCCATCCACGTGATGTTACAAATCTTCTTCCGGCAAAACCTCTCCATTATATATATTTTGTGGTTATTTTTATTCTCTTAAACATCAAAATATTCAATATTTTAATACTGATCAGACCATCTATTTGTCTTTGAATGTTTTTTTTTAATTCACCCATTTTAGAGTAATAGCCGAAATTGATTTTTTTCCGTCACCAAAATATATTTTGCAAATTGAGACAAATTAACCCACACCCCACCCTAAATTTTAACTTTGTACCCACGTTAAAGAACATTTTTTTAGGAAGAAAAACTAGCTTTAATTTGTAAAGAATTTTATTTGAGAGAGGAAATGAATTTAATTTGTTGGCCTTTGCGATCGATTTGTACCTATAATATTTACTACTCCGTAATATTGTGTCATATTTAGTATATTTTTATTTTGAAAATGAAACAATTTCAAAAAATACCTGATTAGAAAATTTACATAAATTTATCGTTAGTTAAATTTACAATTAAATTATAAGGCGGTCTCCTAATTTATTTCACATATACGTATACTTCGGTTAACATTGGGTTCTCTGAATTTTTAAAAGAATGGGTCCCATCTCGACTGTCACTGAAAAGGGTAATTGAATTTTAATTATAGATTGATAACAAAGAGTGGACTGATATTTGCAAATGTACTATGCATAATATAGTTATCTCCCAACACAGTTACTCTTTATGTTTTTAGACTACATGATCTGTGGAAATCTCGTTCCATTTATTAAAGAATCATGTTACTTGTACACTGCTTGGTATATGCCATGTTGTTTATTGTTTTGCACTAACCTTCAGATATAAAATATCAGAGTGATTACAAGATTTTATAGTGATATTTCATGCCGGTGCATACCATCGGTGTGTAAATGGAAAGCACTAGTATACAAGTTAGTGTATAACTGTATACCCAGTGGCGTGAAAGTAATAAAATTATTTATCAAATAGACTTTTTTTTTTGTGGAATTTGCACTAAATAGTACTAAAACATATGTATCCTCCTAATAGAGTGCTCAACTTTTTTATTATCTAAATAGTCCTTGAATAATGTCTAGTGGCGAAAACAATGTCCAGTGATGTTGAACATTTAATTCGAACAACGTCCAGTGGCAGTGAATATTTACTTAAGCAATGACTAGTGGACAATGACTAGTGGTACTACACTAGAAATAATAACATATGGTACTATATTAGGAAAAGTCACTATATTTTACTACTCCGTACTATTTAGGTAAAATCTTCTTTGTTTATCTTCCTTGTTTTGTTTAAAATCTAGATTTCACAATTTTTTTTGTCCAAACTCTTTAAAAAAGGCCGAATAATCTTTAAATTCGGATGAAATTTCTATATCCATATCAAACCCGGCCCATACTCTTTTAGAGAAAAGACGTGACGTCGATCCAAACTAAATGATGTGATCTTTTTCTTACATAACCTTATCTCAATCACTTGAGGAGAATTACTTCCTCGTCTTTAAATATTTGGCACACTTGTATTTCCGAGTTAAATTATTAAATTTTTTCAATTCATTTTATTTACATATTGGTATAGAATTAAAGAATAAAATTTACATATCAAAAAAGTATATGATAAGTTCTTCGAAATAAGAAGTGTCAAAAATATTTTATTTTATTAAGTAACCAATTTTAGAAATAAACAAAAGTTTCCGCGATTGCTGAAAAAGCAAATGCTGTAAAGATTTTGGGACGGAAGGAGTATTATTTATTGGTCCTCGTCCCAAAATATTTGGTATTTTACGGAAAATAGAGTGAAATATTACATTTTTCAATTATTTTATTTAAAAATTAGTATAAAAATAAAAGGTCAATATACTTATTCAAAAATTATGTCAAAAATTTTATAAATTAAATAGTTACAAAAGAAATTTATTTTATTAAATAAGCAATAAAAATGTACAAATAAACAAAAACAGCCGCGAATTCAAAATACTGTAGCGTGCTATTCTTTCTTACACAAGGGAATACATCAGTGTATATTTTTTCTTTTTGTATATTAATTCCTACTACTTTGACAATATTTTTGTAACTTAATTTAATTCTTTTTTTTACATCAATTTAGACAACTTATACGAGTATTATTATTTTTTCGACTCTCATGTTATTTCATCTACTCCAAAGAAATGAGCCATATAATAAGACTAAGAGGTAGGTCCCATTCTCTTCAACTTACAATTAAATTACATTAGACTCATTCAAATTAAATTACCCTTTAGAAGATTTAAATCAAATGTATTAAGTTCAAACGAAGTGAACGCATCCATGGAGGGTGAACCTCATCGGAGAATATTAGAAAGAACATGAATTAGGCGTCTTTTATTTTAAAATAGTTTTAAATAAGAAATCATCCTAAATAGAGTAAAACATAAAATGTGTCAATATAGGAGCTTCATACTTTTATTCCATAACAGGAGTTTATAATGTGAAATGTGACACTGTATACTAGGGGTGAGCAAGTACCGAACCGATACCGAAATTTCCCGAAAAACCGAGAATACCGAACCGAAAAAGTACCGAGAAGAAACCGAACCGAATGGTCGGTACGGTATTTGGGAACGGTACGAGGTGACGTACCATACCGAAAATCCCGAACCGAACATATATACTAAAATATTATAAAAAATAATAACCCGGAGTAATATTTTTCATATTCCTTCACTAAATAATACGGAGTAATTTTTTAAAAAAAATTGGTTGAAGTTTTATCATGTGTAAGTTATACTTTTATTTGAGTTTTAGTTTTTGTGTATAAACATAAAAGTATTCACAAAGATTCGAAAAACCCTTTGTTGTCGTTCATTTTTTTAGTTTGTGAAATATAAACTATGTTTTGATATGCATCCCTTGCATTTAAATATTCATTTTTTTAATTTTTCACGTTTTTTT